AGCAGTAGTTCAGCCTGTATAGGGTTTCAATGCTGTGGGCAGCCCTACTATTAAATAAGAAGAAAGCAATAAATGTACTCACAGCGAGCTTCATTTTGACGGCAGAGGAGACAAATTCTTCTGGAAAAAATTATTTGCTCCCTTCCACTTTTATACCTGGGTTTCCCAAGGACAAGTACTAGGCAAAACTTATCTTAAGGGCATGTCCTCACTTATTTGTTGTGTCATACACTATTTCACAATGTCAATGCTCTGTTAACAGAGGATTTTGATATCAAACTGATAGGATTAGTCACCTACAGCAGATAAGAGAAAAATTATAATAGCTACATTCAATATACTTCATGATAAAGTTCCGGTATGCAGATTACTCTTCTTTTAAAAACTGGTGGTAAAAGCCAGACGATAAATTCTTAAAATCAAACAAAGAAGCTTGCAAAGAAGAATGTTTCCAACTATTTGAGTTGGTCTAATAAAAGATATAATTATTTACCCTAACAACCTTGTCTGCCTATGTCCTTAAACTAACACGGCTACAACCTATACCCCTAAAGTCAAACAAGATCTCAGTGAAAAACTGTCTACATGGCAAAAACCTCACCCTGTTATTTGACATTGATAATGGGCAAAAGGTTGCCAATGTTGTGCATTCAAAAATTGTTTTAAGTCACCCCCTACCAAAATCATGAAAAATAACAAGATCAGCTAAAAAATAAGTTACATATGGAGTTCCTTCTCTTTGCCATCAGTTCCTGAGCCTTTTGAGTACCTTCACTTCACTCTGTCACCAAGAAAAAAAAAGAAAGCTGGGATGCTCAAGCCATCTTTTGAATTCAGCAGATGAGGCTTGAAGACAATTTCTGAAATATGAGACTTAGGATAAAACTGTGAGAATTATCATCCATGTTGGAGACTTTCTGGAAAGACCAGACTCATTATTACTATTCTTGCTATTGAATATATTAAAGTAGTGCCAACTGTGTGCCAGGTGCTTTCCAAGCCTTTAACACACGTAGTCTCTATTCCAGTAAGCTCAAAACGTAGGGACATAGATGAGGGAAAAAACAGTAATAGGCCTCTTATATGCACTGAGTACAATTTAATTTCAAGTGCTCTAGAGAACAAGAAAAAAAGGCTCTTTGGCTGGGTATGAACATTCAAAAAGTCTAAAATGGAATAGATCCAAATTACATGGTTTTTTTGCAAGTGGTGTAGTTTAGATTATTAGCAAACACGACACACATTTCTCTTTTGTGGGGAGGTTCTGCCATTTTTAAACCAGTTTGTGCGCACCAAACTTCTGTTATGGGTTTAGACTCAGTTTCTGATCCCTTATACTAGTAAAAGTGTAATGTCTGTACCTGGCCTTATAAGGAACTTAAGAGTAGAGAGTGAAGGAGATGGTCTCAATAAGATCATACCATGAATACCCTTAGATGCATGTGAGGAAGCATTGAGGTGGTTGTCTAGGAAGCTGCTGAACAAATTCAAGAGGCTGAGAGCCCTGGGCCAGCAGAGGCAATGGAGAGGAAAACAAAGCCTGTTTTTTGTTTGTTTTTAATGTTTTAAATGTTGAAACTTTACTAGATTTCAGAACTTAGGGGGGAAAACCAGCTATTTCGACTCAGTAAGATTTTGCTGTGTTCTGCACATTTTGACTGATCCCACCACTACAAAGTCTGTGAATATGTAGAATTTGCACAAGACAACACTGGTGCTGTAATGTTTTACACCAGACTGCACTCCTCTTTCCATTCGCACAAGATGCATAGTAGTGGGGGATCAGGCTGATAAAGTTTTGAGCAAAGTGACTTATAGCTTTTCTAATCAGTCTGATTTGCAGATGGCAAATGCAGGTGCGTGTGTGTGAAGCCTGTGGATGCAATAGACACAAAAAAGCCTCTTGTTTTCCTTAGAAAATTGATATACTGGCTAGTTCTCATGAGAAAGGCATCAAGAAAGCTAAACTATGCAATGCTAATCCCTATGCTGTCATTAGCAATGACCTGGAAATGAATTTTGTCCAAGAGTCCAACAACCACAGCCATTTTGGCCACCACAGTTAACACAGCACTCTTGGAAATCTGAATCTCTAACTCCTCCATTAACTTTTCATTGCTTACATAGCCTGTAGAAATCAAGACAGAAATCAAGGAGGAAATAAGATCTTACTATTCATGATTCCACTCCTTGGCCAGTACTGTGCTGTTCTCTGATGCTTTTTTTTTTTAATACTTGGCCCAGAACAGTTTCTCTCTCTATACCACATGTTAGGGCCAGCAAATATCTTGAGTACCAGTATATTGGTGAGTAAAGCACCAACCTGACCCTTTAATTCAAAGCTCACATGGGTCCTTTCCTGAGGCTCAATGACATTTTTGTCTTGTTAATTTTCCACATTTCGTTCCATATTTTGTTTTCAAGCAGAACCAGAAATACATATATTGCAAAGATGTTTGGAATAGTTTCAAATGATTTGATTTCTAACTATTTCACTTGGTGAGTCTTGCCTGATTCTGTCTTGGTCTTGAGGAATGAAACACCAGACCACGTAGTTCCCTGAGTAAACATCCCCATGTCATGGTCTAATATAGCATCAATGTAGCTACTACAGGTGGTCAGACTACAGCAGTTCCAGTTAAGCTATGTGCAGTTGAAGAATCCAGGTCTCAGCCTTTTCTCCAGCCCTAAATCCAAGTTCTGCTAAAGCATAAGTAATTAAGTATGAAGGTGGGTGCTGTATATTTTGTTGATTTTTGAGGTGGTGCCATGTGCTTTCCTTTCCCAACATTAGCTTATGTCCTCTGGAAGAAGCAAATATTTATCAAAACTGCCTGAGAAAACCATGAATCACCAGAAGAGATTTTTCATATATGTATTTACTCCATTTTAACTTGTTTGATTTGATATCCTAACAGTGTTAGTTTAATGCACTGGAATGTGTTGGTTATTGGAGATTGGCTTTAAAATGATGCAAGTCTGTCCTTCTTTCTATTTTCCAGATCCTTAAAAAAATTACCTGCAGTGAGTGGTTACACTAAATAATAGGGTGAATTCTCCTTTTGGTTATGGGAATGGAAAGTAAAGCCACCACTTTAGTGGTATGGGATTGTCAGAAACTACAGGGAAGTTGCACCCTCAAAAAGTATCAGAGACATATAACATAATATGTTATATTTTTTTTGATTTTTTACATTCTCTCCCGCCTCTGGTCTTCTTCATGCCTGGCCTTGAGAATAACAGGTGAGAACAAAGTAATCTGATTCAGATATATGGAAAGGCAAAGACTGTAAACCCATCCCTGATTCAGGTCAAGGGCAGACAAAGCAAAAAAGCAGCTTTGGTAAATGCAATGGAAAGTTCAAGTGCAGTCAGGCCTGCAATGGCTGTTTCTATACCAAACCTCCTTCTGCATGAGAATGAACATTATTGAGAGTTGTATATATAGAATTAGAGTTGTTTTTTGATCTCTGCTGTCAAGCTGTTTACTGACTTAAGTTAACCCGGCAGATATGCACCTATTCAACGCAGGGGATTGTGACACACATACTGAGGAAATAATGTATTTCTCAAAGAAGCAAAGCTATTCCTGTTGGGAAGAATATCCATACTCAATCTTGTGTTAAGGTGCTGAGGTACCTATTAGAAGGCTGAGTTCCATACTGGTCCATACAGAAATAACAGTTAGAAATTATCCTTTATTATTTGTCTCCCTGTGATAGGGATCAAAGGTTTCACCTTGCCAGGATGAGGGTCAGTTTTTGTTGAATCCAGTTGCTACTGTTAAAATTTTCCTTCATTTACCACTGCCCATTTTGTTTACCGCTCTATTAAGAATGTCAGATCCACTTTGGATGTGTGTGTGAGAGAGGCAGACAGTAAGAAAGAGCTTATGTTACACCCCTAGTAAATGGTTGAGATATGGCAACTGAAATAAAAAGCCATTACTGCTAAATGGAAAGTTTAGCTAATGCTTTTAGACTTTTAGGCCAAGCGGAAGAGAAGTGTGCCTTTGGGACTTCACCTCTATCACCAGTGTTCAGTGCCTGCATGGTTTTGTCAGCCACTAAGATCTCTTTGTCACAAGCATTTCCATTGTGCCCATCACTTTACTATCATTTGACAAAGGTTGATAAGGGCAGCTTTTCTATTCTAATCTGATCAGACCCATCACATCAGTTTGGTCCTCGTTGACATATATTTGGTATATTTATTTGTTGTTCATTTGTTACACATCTGTATCCTTGATTATTGCACTAGTGGAAAGCTGTGCAGTATAAAATAGAAGTATGTATTACTTATCCTCTTCTCATTGTTTTTTTTTTTTTTTTTTTTGCAGAGACATGCTTCCGCAGAACTGATTTTTTGGACAGATGATTCATGTTATAGAAATTTGTTCTTTCTATTTTGTATTTCATCTTAGAAAAATGAAATAAGCATAAATTGAAATAAATTTGTAGAAAATATCCAGAACTGTACAACAGTATCGTAAAATCGTACAGTTTCATTGTAGTGCATCAGGACAGCAAACAAAACCTTCAAAAATCACACAGAATGGGTAAAGTTTAACTGTGATCCAACCTGAGTGATTTGCTGGATCATGGCTCATGCTCCTTGCAGCTGCATCATGAAGTAAAGTGGGATTGCATTTCTTTTTAAATGATTGGATGGCTTTAAATCTGTTGATCGATTTGGGATGGCTACTGACATGTTCCTAGCTTTATGTTTTACAAACTTGTTCTAAAAATGCTACCATTTTTTCTCCAATCTTAAATGATGTGCAGTAAGATATTATTTTAATATGCTGCAAAGAACAAGTCATGGAAAGTGCCAAATAAACACCAGAAAACTGAAGTTTTTTATTTATCTATAGAGAAGACAGGAGCCCTCCCATCACCACAGCTCTGCCAATATGTCTTTGTCCTGACTTTTCTTTGCATGCAGCTTTAGAGGCAGGAGACTACAATCACAGACTATTGTTTTGGAGGCTGTGTATACCTTTTACATTGGATCTGGATCAATGCTTACTTGCTGGAGTCCTGAAAAGATTCCAGTAGACACTGGATCTGCTCCAGTGGGACCTCTGGCATCCTTTTATTGATTTCCATGGTCTTGGCACTTTACTGCAATTGTGTTAAAAGAATCTGCCAAGCTTAACGAACTCTAAACACACATATACTATTAACTGATTAAATTGATCCTGCAATGAAGGAAAATCAGTCTAGTTTTCTTTCTTCATCATGCATCTTGACATTGTTATAACCCAATAGAGCTCTTACCTGAAACATGGTTTGGACCCATTTCTACTTAAAACCCTAGGCACCAAAATTCTTGACATTCTCGTCCCCTAAACTCACACATGCACACATGTCTCCACCCTTTGAATTAACGCATTAGTTGGCAGCAGCGTTCATTTGTGTGTATTTAAGGAGGTGTCCATCTCAGTGCCTGTAGACAAATACTTCTTTTTGCCTGTGCTGCCTAATACAAGATCCTAGAGAGCAAATATAGCATGCATAAGTCATTTTTATATAATCGATTTTCATTATATGACCAGGCTGCAAAGTGGGTCAGTGTGGCCTATATCAGTGGTTTGCAGTCTGTGGTCCACAGATCACTGGTGGTCCATGGTCCATTGTCAGAAGCTGGTGCCCAAGTCACACTGGCCCCAGCTTTTCCATTCAAAGGTGGTGATGAGGCTTAATGATGACTCACAGGAAATGTTGAAGGTTGCAAGAGTGGTCCATTGGTCGAAAAGGTTTGAGGGTGATTGGCCTAAATGAACCAGAAAGGAACAGCAGTAAATGAGAACCTGGAAACCATGATTCTATTCTTTACACTGCTACTGCCCTGCTTTATAACCCTTCTGAACTTCATGGGCCCCATCTTTTGTACTAAGGGAGACTAAGATTTACCCAACCTATGTATGCAAGGTATTATTGTTGTTTGTATCATAATTATCATTGGAATATTTCAGTCAATTTAAGTACAGTAGTTTTGCTTGGAGCCGTGTACATTTGAATGCAACTGTTTTGCAAGTGGTACCCAGAAAGTTGGTCTATTCATTGATTTGTTACCTGTACTTGTAGGCTGTGATGATGCAGACATTTCTGTCTAGGTTAGTGTATCTGGCTGTACAAAGGAAGAATATACCTTTCTCCTGCTGCATACTCTTGCTAAGGAAGAAAACTAGACAAAATAAAATCATAGCTGTGTATTAAAAAAAATTGATCCAGCAGGTGTTTACTCTCGCAGTTTAGTTATTAAATAATAGGTATTTGCGAAGTGATTAATTAGAAATTTTTCAGGGCTAACTGAAGTGCTCATATCAGGATTGGGTTATCTGCCTAAGGCAGAAAATTCAGATAAAGTAGTTTACCATGGTGTGTCATTTTGATAGGGAACTGTTCGAGTCAGAAAGCATATTGCCGTCAAGTGGTTTCCACACCTATAGCAAGATATAAAAGTTCGACGTTTCAGTGCTTTTTTCCATTTGGTCCACAACTTCTCATTCTTATTTGGAAGAACAATGAACATGCTTGTGAGTATATTTGTCCCTTCTTGCCACTGTAGGGTACCAAACTGAACATTTATGTAAAAAATGTGAATATTTTCTTTTTGCTAGACAGAAGAGTTTTAAGTAAGGTGAGAACTGTCTGAATAATTCTCTGACCTGTTTCATGTCTCGTTTGTAAGTGCAGGAGGGTTGACTTCTTGTGTATGCAGTAATCCCACTGAGGTCACTGGAATGGTTCTGTAGCTAACTTATGCTATATGTTTTGAGGGGAATTGGGGTAACAACATGGCAGTGATTGATGTCATTTTTGAATAGCAAAGAAATGTTAAAAAAAAAAAAGCCTACGTGTTCCATTCCAAATGAGAAGATGAAAAACCCAAATTGGAAAAATGTTTACACAAACAGAAAGTATGAGACAGGCAGAAAGCTAAAAATGAAGGCAAACAAGGAGTTGGGGAATGAAAATGACTATTACTGTATTTGGTGATTTTCATTCTTTACATGTAGAATGGGCTTTATATTGTTTGGTTAAAGCGGGCCCCAGTCTGACTGGTGACCAGATCTGACTTGTGATATGCATCATCCTATCCTGCCTCTGACAGTGCCCATTATCAGATTCTTCAGCTAGGAACCATGTAGTGGAAAATTAAAGCAATATCAAACTTGCAAGATTTGAAACTCCCAAACTCTGAAGGATTTCAAAATCACACCTACCTACAGTTCCCCTGGAAATGTGAAGGTTTTCTAGTCTGAATTTCTAAAAGAGTGTGTTTTAGATTTGTTTTTGTTAATACGTATTCAATTTCAATGACTTATTAATGCTCCTTCACTTCTAGTGATATATTATAGCTGACAAATTGAAATCTCACCAACAAAATCGGAGAAGATTTTCTTGGACATTCCTAATATTTCTAAGGCCAAAAAAAATCAGACAAAATTGTAAATAGACAGCTCAATAAACTTTTATACATCATGAAATCCACAGGTTACCTTTGGGATTAAGTGACTGCTATAAAGTTTCACAGTTTAACAAACAAAATAAAACATAATAGGGAAATAGAATTCTCTTCCAATGGTCTTCATGTAATGCAAAGTGGATAATTTTTCAAGCCTTGACAATACTACAGCTTCCCTTAATTTGTTAATTCAGAAGACCATATATATTCATCTGAACTCTGTCCACTTGGCATGAAGTACTCATTGTTCCTATTAAATATGAATGCTGCTATTTTCTTTTTCAGGCTGCACTAATTGCTGTGTTGGGAGTCTTCTGGACCCAGGCAGCTGCATATCATGTAAGTAGACTGGGAAGGCTGTGTACTGCTTACCGTTTATTTGCATTATGTTCCTAAAGCGGGGGGATAGAAAATTGGCTAATAGGAAAAAAGCCATGACGAAACTAGCAACATGTTTATTGCTGAGTCCAGAGAAAGAGTCATTTTTTGCCAAAGCAGGCAATCACATAAATTAAAGAACCAATTCTGCAGCCCGTAGGTGAGCAAAACATCCAGAGAAACCTGACTGTAAGATTAGGTCCTAGAAAAGGAGAAGGCTTGTAATATTGTCCCTTCTATCCCGCTACATCACTTTACAGTTATCCCCTGCTATATATTACTGGCAACTTTGCAACTTCCCAAGCAAATACAAGCCGCAACCCAGTACAATTTACCATTAAGAAACTGTTAATTTATTTCCTATCTCATTCACTTTCCAACCATTGCTTCAGGTTGTAACTATTCTCAACAATTTCCCCTTTTCTTCATATTTATGTACTGTTAAATCCTTCCTTATTACATAGCCACTAGACACAGTGGGAATGATGTGCCTTTACACTCTGGCCTTCTGACAGTGTGAAGGGAGCTTAAATGACTGTGTCTGCAATTGATGCCTACTCCAAGGCCTCCTTTCCCTGCCAGAGAGGTGTAAAGGGGCTTCACTGCAATTGTGAATTGGGCTCTTTCAGCTTATGGGCGTAAGCACAGTTTACTGCAAAGAGAAGGAGATGGGGATTTACCACTCAGCACTACTTGTATATATGCCCTTATCCCATGGTAAGTATTTTAAGAGGGTTAAGTTACCATGAGATAGCCTTCATCTGCCATGATGTAAGAGTGTACACAATGGCAGGTACCATGGAACCAGTGATACATGGTAAATCCCTACCCATTTTACTCCACAGAAAGTCATGTCTCCCTGTATCCTTATCTTTTTTATTTCGGTAGCCCAGGAATTATAGCAGGCAAAACACTTCCTTCTTTGTTGTATTTGTGAGTGCAACAGATGTTTCTGATAAAATATTTTGTGTTTTATACCCAGATCTACACCATTCCATCACCTGGCCGTGACTATGTCCTGCAAACTGTGACTATTGACAATACAAAAAATACTGCAGACATCCATGTCCGTAATGGGCTGTGCTCCTCTGACACCATTTTTGATTACAAACATGTAAGTAAAACCTGTTGCAGCACAGAGGCATCTCTAGGACGATATGTTTAAATCCAGTGAAACACCTTAATATATCAGCACCAGTATCATCAGCAGTAGCATCATGGGTTATTTTTACATGTGGGCAACTCCCATTGCAGTCCATGTAGTTCACTCTACAGTTATATCAGTGAAGCCAAGGGCAGAATCTAGATCAAAGTATAAGCAGAATTAGCAACTGGGTCAAAGCCAAAGGTCCACTTCTGCCTAACTGACTAGCTAGTGGCACATAAGGGAGTGATGGTACTATCATGTCCACCTACCTTCGCCTCACTGGCCCAGATGGCCAGGATCATTCATTTATAGTTAGGTTGTTTAAGGGTAGCCTTTGGCACACTTGCAAAGCAAGGTTTGAATTCCTGCCTAGCGCAAGATGCTTTAACTGCTCTGTGGACCCAGCAGCAGTTGGCTAATAGTAAACTGGGTATGCCTACATGAGATGTTTACTGTAGAGTAGACTAATTAGCTCCACAGTAAATGTCTTGGGTCTACATGTGCAGGGCTATTAGGCTGAAGTAAATTAATTAACTCTGCAGCAGGATAGTACTTATAAACACAAGTACTATCCTGCGGTGGTGTTATTTAGTGTGTTACAATGCACGTATAGATGCTGATGGCGCTGGCTAGGGCATGAGGGTGCTTCAGTGTGGGGGCTGCCTGTGCCCCAGCCATCCTTTCTGCAGCATGTTGAAACAGGTTGGAGCAGCCCTGGGCTGGCAGGCTGACCCCCTAGACCCTCTGCCAGCAGGGGCTGCTGTGACTCAGCTCAACATGCTGTGGTCTCAGGTGCATGTTCAAACAAAGTACCCGGGAGCAATAAACTCTGGCACAATAAGCACTGGAGTTTCTTGCTTGAATTAATTGCATATGTAGAACCACCCACTAACTTGTAATTTAATAGCCTGCTCTTGTGTTTTACAGGGATACATTGCAACGAGGGTGTTTGCCCAGAGGGCCTGCTTTATTATGAAGATGGAGAAAGGATATACCCTAACACTGGAAGATATTGGACGTCTTGCTTATGAGAGACAGGTGATTTTCTGGAGTGTCACGTACTGTGTACAAGTTAGAGGCAATGGAGACGTAGTGTGATGGAAACAGAAAATGTTGCCACATAGAATACTCCCTGTTCCTAGGAGTATTATTGGAACAGCAGTGAAGCAGCAAGCTAAGAATTCGAGGGAAGATCACATGCAATGCCACTCTTAAGATAGTGATGAAGGATAGCTGGGTGGGTCTGCAGTTTTAGGTGTGTAGATTAGGCCTGTGTGAAGCGGCTAGTATTTGTTTCGGATTTGGATTTGGCTGATTTGTTTGGGGGACAGTGATTCGATTTGGTGATTCGAATCACTGTCCTGATTCAATTCAGCCGAATCTGATTCAGAGATTCAGCAGCAGCCAAATCTCCGAATCTGCAAATCATCCAGGCCCCATCCCCTGCCTGCTTTCCCAGCCTGACAATGACTGTCCAGTCCACCCCAGCTCCTGGTACTTTGAAAAAAAAGAGCCCTGACTCTGCGGGTGCTGCTGGACTAGTGGGGTGGCAATCCCCACTGCCTCCCACTTCCCCATGCTGCATGGGGAGCTCTGCATGAGCCCCCCAACCCCCCTCCTTGCTCCCCCAACCTCCCCACGGGGGCCTTGCCTGGGCCAGCTCTGGCCCTTTAAGAAAAAAAAACAAATGAAAAAAACCCCAGACTCACCACTCCTGCCGGTGGGGTAGGGGGGCGATCCCTGTTAACCCCCACTGCCCCACGCCACGGGGGGGCTCTGCACAAGCCCCCGAAGCCCCAAGGCCGCTGCAGGAGTAGAGAGTCCCGGGACTTTTCTTGGGTTTATTTTTCTTAAAGGGCTGGAGCTGGCCTGGGCAGGGCACCCATGGCGGGGCTGGAC